CAGCTGGACTCATCCTCCTCGGCGTCATCATCTACGGTGCTAAACTATCGGGCGTTACATTCGGTTGGTCATTTGGGATGACAATAGTGAGCGGTCTGTTCCTGATTGGTGTCGGGGCCCTCAACATAGTAGATAAATTCTCATCCCGGTGAAGAACAATGTATTTTCCTCTTACTTACATATAATTATACATATGTAAGATAGATACACCCCATCCTTTCTTTTCGCTGTCATAGGTTGTCACGAGTCAATAAAAATATGTTTGTAACTGTTTTGTTCACTTTTTCTGTTTTCATTATCTAAGAGTACATGTTGGGAATTCCGGAATGAGAAGTCATGGGATCGAGGTAACTTGCCTGATTGTGTGTCACTGTGCCCCAAGGACGTGGCCATTGCTATGCCTTATCCTGACGTGATGACAATCAGTCCGCCGTGATAAACACCAGGACACTGAGTTCTACCAAACAATTGTAAACGTTATCAAAACGATAATTGGCTGAAGAGACAGTCGCCGACATTCGTCACCACTCGCCCCTTTCCGTAACCTGCGCTATTCGGCTTGTCCCGGAATAACACGAGTTGGTCACGAATGAGTCGCCGAAACACCGCAAACATAAGGTCCGAAACAGCCATCATTCCCGTGTCAAATACATCACCATCGAATAACCATTCCTCTCTTGTTTCTCGTCTATCCACCATCAAACATACGTGTATACTTTCTTTTGCCTGACAGTTTAGTTCTTGCTGAATAGACCGCCTCCGTGGTCTAGAGGTAGAGCGTCCGCCGGGAGAGTGGAAGGTCCGGGATTCGATCCCCGGCCGCGTCATACCAAAAGATGGTACTTGTTGTTACACTGTCTGGCGCTCGGCATTAAGGAGCTAAAACAAGGACTGGTCGGCTCGGAGTCAATATACTGTGTCTGAGTGGGGTATTCTTGTTTAACTGCGACATGGTATCTCAGTGAGCTAGCACTATATATCGGCATCAGTCCGGACTAGTACAAGCAGACACACACACACGCGCACACACACGTACATGCACGTCGCTATATAAGTGCAATTATCTTGGACGCGACGTTAAACCCAATTTCACCTCACCTCTTGCTGAATACGGCGTTAAACATTCACCATTTCACGCATGTTAGGATATGTTTGTCGTCTCAGGTCATGTTGATGACAGTATCTTACCTATTTGATTACTGAGAGGGACGACGTGCAGTTTCACGAGGACGTCATTAACCCCCAATGTGTATTTGCATGACGGATTTGTGGTCGAACTGGGTCGTACCAGTGTGAACATCTCCCAACACTGTGGTGAAATAAGCAGATATGGGATATAAGGGATATGTCTTCATATGTCATCACTCACAGGACCACCCCCACGCACGACGCACCACGCACACAGACACACACAGACACAGACAGACACACACACAAAAAATCATAGAGAGACACACACACACACACGCACGGTCACACAGACACACAGACAGACAGACACACACATACAAAATCATAGAGAGACACACACACACGCACAGTCACACAGACAGACACACACAAAATCATAGAGAGACACACACACACGCACAGTCACACAGACACACAGACACACACAGACACACACAGAAAAAGTCATAGAGAGACACACACACACGCGCACAGTCACACAGACACAGACAGACACAGACAAAGAAAAAATAAAGCGAGACACACACACGCACAGTCACACAGAGAGAGACAGACAAACACACACACAGACAGACACACACAAGCACAGACATGGAGACACACATGCACAGTCACACAGACATACACAGAGACACACACACATAGAGAAAGACACACACATGCACAGTCACACACAGAGAGACACAAACACACACATAGAGAGAGAGACACACACACACACAGAGAAAGACACACACATGCACAGTCACACAGACACACACAGAGACACACAAACACACACATAGAGAGAGACACACATATGCACATTATGTGTTATTAATTACAGACTTTCAGTCATCTAACTTGACCTTGTTCCTCTGACTCATACAAAGTTTTCGGTGAAACTCGGTGTTTTTATTATTTTACAAATGTCGCCGTCAACAAATGCTTGGATAACAAGTAAATGTCATTCCTTGAAAATGTTTACACAACATAAACATCGCTTTGAAGGTTTTAGATGATCGTTTTGAATATCCCGACATTTCAACGATCAATAACAATTAGCAAATGTTTAACGATTTCCTTCGTCCATTCTTTAAAAGACCACAATGATGTGTGGAACACCTACGTCAAATAGACCTTAACCTGTACGCCTCTATTTCAAGCTGTTGTCCAAATGTTAATCTCCTCGACGTGTTTTCCTGGCTATATCGCAAGAATTATCAGGACACTCCCTTGCTATGCTGAAAGCGTTATCCACCGTTATCTCTGCTGGGATAGTATGTGGCCACTCGCAGGAATACTCACTCGGTATCAGCTGGTTACTTGTATACTGAACCACAAAAGAAACGTCACCATGGATAGATATATGAGAAACCTTATTTGTCCAAACACTGTAAACATACTTTGAAACATACTAAAAAGATGAAACTTGGCAAAACTGATCATCAAGGTTGAAATTAAAGTGCCTAATGTTCTTAAAGTGAAACACAACACTAGTCTCTGAGAAAATGGCACCACAAGTCAGTATCTCGTGTGTCCGCCATGTGCATTGATGACTGCCGTGCAACGTCGATACATGGAATGGATGAGGCGGTTGATGAAGACCATAGGCACTTGAGCCCGCACTCTGAGGAACGCCTGACGCAGTTCAGCTGCAGTTGTCGGCCTTGGTCGGACGTCATTCAGCCGTCTTTGAATCTCGTCCCACAGGTGCTGAATGGGATTTAAATCGGGACTGAGGGCAGGCCTGGCGATCCTGACGTCGGAGGTGACCCTTGGTCATCTGTAGTGTTGGTGGTCTGGTACCGTTGCTGGAGCCTGTATATGGTCCTTGCGTGAACTTGAAATGCATTGGCTACTTGCCGGGCGGTTTGTCCAGCTTGCAATCGTCCAAGGACTTGGTTACGCTGATTTCTTGTCAATCTTGGCATGTGGTAGCAATTCAATAACGAATGAATGTTATCCGATCTGGGTGGATTTTTATAAGGCAAGGAATGGGGGGAATGCATGTGCATTTCAATTTGCACGGAACTCACGTGCATCGGGTTACCATGGCCGTTGCCGTGATGCGTTTGGGCGATCGGTTTTATTGTCATCTGCTTTGTTTTTAATCATCAAATTTCATGTTAAAGGTTAATGTTAAATTTTAGAAACTTTGACAAAAATTACCCAGATATTTAACTGACAAATTTTCATGCAATGTTATTTGGGTTGACGTTTCTTTTGCCGCTCAGACACAGCCAGCCAGACAGCGGAAATTACAACTAAAACAATGATAGCGTATATCACAACTGTTAGATTGTGTATCAGCCGATCGCGAAATTCACTGAAATTCACTGAAGGACATTCGGAAATGTTTGTGTGACAAACTTGAATACCGATAGATACCAATTTAAAAGCACGTTGTGCCTTGTCAGTTTATCTTAAACAGTCGCCTAATAGGTGATTAATAAAATAGCGTCTTTCTTACAATGTTAGGCTTTGCCAGGAACAATGGCTTCCCGGAGGGGGAGCTGCAAGCAGACGCAGACGGGTATACTACTATTCATTCAGTGATATCATTTTTAGGGAATTGTACGAAACAGGTTAAAACAGTCAATTGTCAAGAAACAGGTGGATAAAGAAACTGAATCCATCTGAAACGTGTGGATACCCTATCAAAATCAACCTCCCGGGTAAAATACCCAGATAATTGAAAGCTGATCTGCGGCCTTGTATAATGTAAAGTTAATAGTATTATAGTAACGTGCCATCCAAAAATGTCTTCTGTGGTTAAAAGTAGAAACTTTGCAACGAACTCTCAGCACATCTATTCACCATATATAGGGATATGTATATGTATATTGGGGTACCTCCCAATCTGTTGACTGACATTGGGAAAGTACCCGGGTTTGCTACGAGAATACAGCCCTTCAGACAATCTAGGTAATGCAGAAGGTTGCAGTGTTAGGGAGTCTTCACATTGTCCGAAATGTCCTGGGTGGGTTTGACTAGACAGCGCTTCCTGGGAGAAGTCCCATTCGCTGTCAATTGCCCTGAGCTGATGATGAGATTCACCAGCAGTGTCTTAAGTGTAAAAAGTACTGCTAATAGCTTCAGCAGCAGAGCCATTAGTGATGTCATTTGATTGTCACATCATGGTAACCGTCACGTCACAATGGTCTGCAAAGCATTGTGATGCAATTTCATTGCAGCGATATCTACAGTATAGATATCGCTTGATCTCACCCAAGCGATATCTCCTGTGGGAGCCAGTTTTGGATGATAAATGTAGACAAAAGAAGAAGTTACTACAACCTAAAATGTCTCCTTTTGGTATGATATTTTATATATGCTATGAATGAGTATATTTGCATTACGATTATGAGTGAGTGAGTAATAACTATGGTTTTACGCCGCTTTTAGCAATATTCCAGCAATATCACGGCGGGGGACACCAGAAATGGGCTTCACACATTGTACCCATGTGGAGAATCGAACCCGTGTCTTCGGCGTGACGAGCGAACGCTTTCACCACTAGGCTACCCGACCGCCCCCATTAAGATTATGAAAACTCAAATGTCTGAAAGACAAATGATGTATGTTGTTTGTAATTTCAACCAATATATCGGATATGTCAGTTATACAGCAATACGCAGGTAAACACATTTCTCCATTTTGATTCCTAGACCCATATGACTCTAGAATCAAATTTAGGGGGAGTCGTTTAAGCCTACGTACTACACCGCCGCAAAAGAGAAAAAAATCTCATCTAACCAGTGCGATAAACCAATGGCTCTTCTCGAGCGTCATACGAGCTTGCTATTGCGCAATTGATAACTGACGACAATTGGTTGAGGAAGGTGATAATGGACCACAACTCCAAGGTATTTAGACATCGCTACTGTACATATTCACACCTTCACCTCGCATACTCAAACACATACCGCCACCTGTATCGGACTGCGATATTCGTATAACCAGGAGACATGGGATTTCGTGAGGCATCCAAGTTTACAAGAATTGCTTTTGGGTTGGCGGTTGGAGGTTTTTTAACTGACATTATCGGATTTCCCTCACCCTACTGGATTGTGGGGCCGTTCTCGAGTCAAGGCCTCTTTCAGGAATGCGCCCTTTATGGATGTTTTTCGCTCCCAATGGATTTAAGTAAGTAGAGTGTAGTCCATAAATAGTTATATAACCGTTTCATTCAACTTCACAAAGCCCGCACCCCGACCACTCCGTGGTCAAGTGGTAGAGCGTCCGCTCGGAGAGCGGAAGGTCCGGGGTTCGATCCCCAGACGCGTCATACCAAAAGACGTTAAAAGATGGTACTTGTTGTTACCCTGTCTGGCGCTCGGTATTAAGGGGTTAAAACAAGGACTAGTCGGCTCGGAGTCAGTATACTGTGTCTGAGTGGGGTATTCATTTTAAACTGCGGTATGGTATCTCAGTTGGCTAGCACTATATATCGGCATCAGTCCGGACTAGTACAAGCAGCCACACAGATACACACACACACACGTACATGCACGTCGCTATATAAGTGCAATAATCCTGGACGCGGCGTTAAACCCCATTTCACCTCACCGCCTTATGTGTGGTTACAGCTGGCTAGGTGTTTCAGTTTTCTAAATGATCCCCTTTGTTGAAACCCGAGATAAATTAATCATCTATCTACTGTGAACAAATGGCTTTAGACACTGGCTCTCTGTGCGGATGTTTCTCAGTTGGTACAGATTTTACCTGTCTGACTCTTCCATTTGGCCCAATCCCCAATTTGGCATACCCAAACAACATTGGAATTACCCTGCCGCTATCTGCTTCTAAAATGTCCATGCATAGTAACCTTTTATGATCATTAGGAGGCGTTACATCAACTGTAACTAGTTCTTGTCACAATCACAGCCATTTCTAATGTTTCACCTTACATTTTTAGGGGTAACGTAATTCACCAACTTGAACCAACCATAAAAATAAGATAAAGATGTATGATCATTTGTTCGGTCGCAATAATTTTGGATGCGACGTTTCAAAGGATATTACATAAAGTTTGGACAATGATAAAACATTGCAGTTGGAGTGAGTGAGTGAGTGAGTATGGTTTTACGCCGCTTTCAGCAATATTCCAGCAATATCACGGCGGGGGACACTAGAAATGGGCTTCACACATTGTACCCATGTCGGGAACCGAACCCGGGTTTTCGGCGTGACGAGCGAACGCTTTAACCACAAGGCTACCCGCCCGCCCCCATTGCTGTAGGAAAGCATGTATAAAAATGTAATCGTAATAAAGGGAACATGAATTGTATTTTCTAAAGATATGGGAGCAAGCTTGGAATAAAGCGTCTATTTGTACGCGAGTGTGTGTTGCTGTAGAACTTTCCAGATATGCTTCCTGATACTCGATGGTTTCATCTAAAAGGTAAACGGAAAATACTTGCATTACTTGGGGCTTTCCTCTCACGTTAGGCTGGTGGTGGGGCAGCCTTGTGGTGAAAGCGTTCACTCATCACGCCGAAGACCCGGGTTCGATTCTCCACATGGGTACAATGTGTGAAGGCCATTTCTGATGTCTCCTGTCGTTATATTCATGGAATATTGCTAAAAGCGGCGTAAAACCATACTCACTCCCTGTAACCAGCTACCCGTGACCCGTAATTGGATGTCCTCAGATCTTTGTTTAGCGGCAGCGAGAACTGAGATCTAATTTTTATGAGATTGAATGATTGTGAAAGCAGCTTTGAGACAACAATTTACTAACACTGATATTTGCAATTACTTTAGTGCCAGGATGGGAAAAGGCAGTGATGGCGATGGAGGTCCTCGGGTTCCTGGCCTGTCTCGGCTGTTTCGTGCTTATGGTGCTGTACGCACATGTGAAGAATGACCAGACGATCTTGCAGACTATGGCAATTGGTTTGGCGTTTGCTGCAGGTTCGTATCAACGGATTCCTACGCCTTCAGAACACACTACTTTAACAGTATAGCCCAGAGGACATCCTCGGTTATCGAGGGTATTATATTACAATATTTCGTACGACCAATACGCTGGACACATGCGCTTACAGGGGGCACGGGTGATTACGAGTTATGTCCCTTGTATGTCCTCAATCAGAATCAAACTGTCATATCACTTTCCTTTGCTTCCAATGTAATGGCGTCGCCCGGTGAAGACGACCTGATCGATTATCAAGATCTCTATTGTAACAAAACGGGTCTTACTTAGTGCATCAAATCACGTGAGAACCTTTGTTAAAAACATCAAAAGCTTTAGAAAATATCTGTTGACGCTAAGTTTTCGGTACACCTGCTTTGCAAATCCTGCAATCGACTGAAATCTTACAAACCAGTTGTCAAGTTCGTTACGCGATTTGATTGGACTATGCATAGAGTCGTTAGTCAAGCCAAAATATAACTCCCTAAATCCAGTCTAGTTCGGCAAGGGTGGAAACTGGACTGTTATAGTCAGGTAACCTCTTGCCTCGGGAAGATGCATTATCAGCTGCTTGAAGGTATGCTACTGTGGCTCTCCTTCCAGCTGGGGAAACGGGTTGCCCAGTCGTCTAAGGCGCCGCAGTTCACTGTGTAGAGTTACGTCCCTTGGGAACACCAGAACCCTGTGATCGTGGGTTCGAATCCCGGTTCGCTATGTTTGTCAGCACCATAACCGTGCTTGTGGTTTTCACCAAATGAGACCCGCATTCTTTCAGACTTTCCTCCCACATTAAGCTGACGCGCCGCGATATAACTTGAGTACTGTTCAAAGCGGCGTTAACCCCAACTCACTCACTCACTCACTCACTCACTCTTTCAGCTGGACTCATCCTCCTCGGCGTCATCATCTACGGTGCTAAACTGTCGGGCGTTACATTCGGTTGGTCATTTGGGATGACAATAGTGAGCGGTCTGTTCCTGATTGGTGTAGGGGCCCTCAACATAGTAGATAAATTCTCATCCCGGTGAAGAACAATGTATTTTCCTCTTACTTACATACAATTATACATATGTAAGATAGATACACCCCATCCTTTCCTTTCGCTGTCATAGGTTGTCACGAGTCAATAAAAATATGTTTGTAACTGTTTTGTTCACTTTTTCTGTTTTCATTTTCTAAGAGTACATGTTGGGAATTCCGGAATGAGAAGTCATGGGATCGAGGTAACTTGCCTGATTGTGTGTCACTGTGCCCCAAGGACGTGGCCATTGCTATGCCTTATCCTGACGTGATTACAATCAGTCCGCCGTGATATACACCAGGACACTGAATTCTACTAAACAATTGCAAACGTTATCAAAACGATGATTGTCTGAAGAGACAGTCGCCGACATTCGTCACCACTTGCCCCTTTCCGTAACCTGCGCTATTCGGCTTGTCCCGGAATAACACGAGTTGGTCACGAATGAGTCGCCGAAACACCGCAAACATAAGGTCCGAAACAGCCATCATTCCCGTGTCAAATACATCACCATCGAATAACCATTCCTCTCTTGTTTCTCTTCTATCCACCATCAAACATACGTGTATACTTTCTTTTGCCTGACAGTTTAGTTCTTGCTGAATAGACCGCCTCCGTGGTCTAGAGGTAGAGCGTCCGCCGGGAGAGTGGAAGGTCCGGGATTCGATCCCCGGCCGCGTCATACCAAAAGATGGTACTTGTTGTTACCCTGTCTGGCGCTCGGCATTAAGGGGCTAAAACAAGGACTGGTCGGCTCGGAGTCAATATACTGTGTCTGAGTGGGGTATTCTTGTTTAACTGCGACATGGTATCTCAGTGAGCTAGCACTATATATCGGCATCAGTCCGGACTAGTACAAGCAGACACACACACACGCGCACACACACGTACATGCACGTCGCTATATAAGTGCAATTATCTTGGACGCGACGTTAAACCCAATTTCACCTCACCTCTTGCTGAATACGGCGTTAAACATTCACCATTTCACGCATGTTAGGATATGTTTGTCGTCTCAGGTCATGTTGATGACAGTATCTTACCTATTTGATTACTGAGAGGGACGACGTGCAGTTTCACGAGGACGTCATTAAACTCCAATGTGTATTTGCATGACGGATTTGTGGTCGAACTGGGTCGTACCAGTGGCTGATGGTGTGAACATCTCCAAACACTGTGGTGAAATAAGCAGTCAACGCAACACATAACGGATATGTCTTCATATGTCATCACTCACAGGACCACCCCCACGCACGACGCACCACGCACACAGACACAGACACAAAAAATCATAGAGAGACACACACACACGCACAGTCACACAGACACACAGACACAGACAGACACACACAAAAAAAAAATCATAGAGAGACACACACACACGCACAGTCACACAGACACACAGACACAGACAGACACACAAAAAATCATAGAGACACACACACACGCACAGTCACACAGACACACACAGACACACACACACAAAAATCATAGAGACACACACACACACGCGCACAGTCACACAGACACAGACAGACACAGACAAAGAAAAAATAAAGCGAGACACACACACGCACAGTCACACAGACACAGACAGACAAACACACACACAGACAGACACACACAAGCACAGACATAGAGACACACATGCACAGTCACACAGACATACACAGAGACACACACACATAGAGAAAGACACACACATGCACAGTCACACAGACACACACAGAGACACACAAACACACACATAGAGAGAGACACACACATGCACAGTCACACAGACACACACAGAGACACACAAACACACACATAGAGACAACAAAAGACACACACATGCACAGTCACACAGACACACACAGAGACACACAAACACACACATAGAGAGAGACACACACATGCACAGTCACACAGACACACACAGAGACACACAAACACACACATAGAGAGAGACACACATATGCACATTATGTGTTATTAATGACAGACTTTCAGTCATCTAACTTGACCTTGTTCCTTTGACTCATACAAAGTTTTCGGTGAAACTCGGTGTTTTTATTATTTTACAAATGTCGCCGTCAACAAATGCTTGGATAACATGTAAATGTCATTCATTGAAAATGTTTACACAACATAAACATCGCTTTGAAGGTTTTAGATGATCGTTTTGAATATCCCGACATTTCAACGCTCAATAACAATTAGCAAATGTTTAACGATTTCCTTCGTCCATTCTTTAAAAGACCACAATGATGTGTGGAACACCTACGTCAAATAGACCTTAACCTGTACGCCTCTATTTCAAGCTGTTGTCCAAATGTTAATCTCCTCGACGTGTTTTCCTGGCTATATCGCAAGAATTATCAGGAAACTCCCTTGCTATGCTGAAAGCGTTATCCATCGTTATCTCTGCTGGGATAGCATGTGGCCACTCGCAGGAATACTCACTCGGTATCAGCTGGTTACTTGTATACTGAACCACAAAAGAAACGTCACCATGGATAGATATATGAGAAACCTTATTTGTCCAAACACTGTAAACATACTTTGAGACATATTAAAAAGATGAAACTTGGCAAAACTGATCATCAAGGTTGCAATTAAAGTGTCAAATGTTCTTAAATTGAAACAACACTAGTCTGTGAGAAAATTGCACCACAAGTCAGTATCTCGTGTGTGCGCCATGTGCATTGATGACTGCCGTGCAACGTCGATACATGGAATGGATGAGGCGGTTGATGAAGGCCAAAGGCACTTGAGCCCGCACTCTGAGGAACGCCTGACGCAGTTCAGTTGCAGTTGTCGGCCTTGGTCGGACGTCATTCAGCCGTCTTTGAATCTCGTCCCACAGGTGCTCAATGGGATTTAAATCGGGACTGAGGGCAGGCCTGGCGATCCTGACGTCGGAGGTGACCCTTGGTCATCTCTAGTGTTGGTGGTCTGGTACCGTTGCTGGAGCCTGTATATGGTCCTTGGGCGGACATGAAATGCATTGGCTACTTGCCGGGCGGTTTGTCCAGCTTGCAATCGTCCAAGGACTTGGTTACGCTGATTTCTTGTCAATCTTGCCATGTGGTAGCAATTCAATAACGAATGAATGTTATCCGATCTTGGTGGATTTTTATAAGGCAAGGAATGGGGGGAATGCATGTGCATTTCAATTTGCACGGAACTCACGTGCATCGGGTTACCATGGCCGTTGCCGTGATGCGTTTGGGCGATCGGTTTTATTGTCATCTACTTTGTTTGTAATCATCAAATTTCATGTTGAAGGTTAATGTTAAATTTTAGAAACTTTGACAAAAAGTACCCAGATATTTAACTGACAATTTTCATGCAATGTTATTTAGGTTGACGTTTCTTTTGCCGCTCAGACACAGCCAGCCAGACAGCGTATATTACAACTAAAACAATGATAGCGTCTATCACAACTGTTAGATAAACTTATTGTGTATCAGCCGATCGCGAAATTCACTGACGGACATTCGGAAATGTTTGTGTGACAAACTTGAATACCGATAGATACCAATTTAAAAGCACGTTGTGCCTTGTCAGTTCATCTTAAACAGTCGCCAAATAGGTGATTAATAAAATAGCGTCTTTCTTACAATGTTAGGCTTTGCCAAGAACAATGGCCTCCCGGAGTTGGAGCTGCAAGCAGACGCAGACGGGTATACTACTATTCATTTAGTGAAATCATTTTTAGGGAATGTTACGAAACAGGTTAAAATAGTCAATTGTCAAAAAACAAGTGGATAAAGAAACTGAATCCATCTGAAACGTGTGGATACCCAATCAAGATCAACCTCCCGGGTAAAAATACCCAGATAACCGAAAGCTGATCTGCGGCCTTGTATAATGTAAAGTTAATAGTATTATAGTAACGTGCCATCCAAAAATGTCTTCTGTGGTTAAAAGTAGAAACTTTGCAACGAACTCTCAGCACATCTATTCACCATATATAGGGATATGTATATGTATATTGGGGTACCTCCCAATCTGTTGACTGACATTGGGAAAGTACCCGGGTTTGCTACGAGAATACAGCCCTTCAGACAATCTAGGTAATGCAGAAGGCTGCAGTGTTAGGGAGTCTTCACATTGTCCGAAGTGTTCTGGGTGGGTTTGACTAGGCAGCGCTTCCTGGGAGAAGCCCCATTCGCTGTCTGGGCTGCATGTAGAGGGGGCAAGGGCCCTGAGCTGATGATGAGCCTAACCAGCCTGACTGTGCCAGGATTTCCTGATGTAACAGAGGTAGTATTCTTAGAATTGTACACAATGATAACTGTTGTTTTTATAATTCTGTCGAATACCCTACCTCTATTACAGCCAGTATACACCAGAGTGATCGGTTGGATCTGGCATTTAGTATCCCTAGATAGTTGGCAACAGTGAAGTAGGAATACATATATACACTGGATAAAACGGAAGTATATTGTAAGATATTATGATCTAGATTTTCTAGATTCGACATTTAATTACGTCACTTCCCTTCCTGTGACGTCAGTATTGTTGCGAAATGTGAAATTCCGGGGTATTTATGACATCACTTCCGGTTCTGAGGTCTTTCATATCATCACTCGTCTATATTACCAGTTCTAGGTTTTCTACTGATGACGTCACTGCTGTTTCCTGTCGGTGATATTTATGTTATTTCAATTCTTATGTTCCCCATGACGCTACTTCCGGTGGTCACTACAATGATACATCCTTGACTGTCATGAGAAACACCTCATATCCCTTCGATCTATGATTTCAGTGTCAGGCAGTGATCTGCCTGCGCACAAACAGACTAGGGTTCAGGTGACCAACGTATCTTGAATTTGAGGTACTTTTCACTCCCCGACCCAGGGTTCCCGAAAGAAGAAAGCCAGGCAGGACTAATTGGTGACTATCTACGGAGCTGCCCTAACGGGTCCCAGAATGTATGGTCCTTCGAGATCGGTTTGAAAGGAGAAAACGCACTGTGGGATTTCCATTGACAGCTCACCACCTCTTGTTTGATGAAGCCATGCTTGTTGTCAGAGCTAGTTGTAGCAATTCGTGCTTGGCTGTCTGCTGTGGCGGATTTGAGCCATCCTGCCACAGTAACAATGGTTATGTTTTTGACGTGGCTTGCATGAA